GTTGACATAAACTTTCAAGGTGAACCAAATTTAGTAATTAAACATAAAATCAATATAATACCTAAATAATAACAATCACTTCACATTCGAAAAAGATATAAGAATTTAATAGATCTTAACACATGATATGATTATGGAAGAACAAAGAGATTGACGCATTTCATTAACACTTGATGAGAAAATGATCATACAATCCATTATTTATGGTTAATAAATATGGAGCACTTCATATACTATTAGATATTATATCCCGCAAGATAATCTCAAATATTTCTAGACATTTTAAAGAAAATTCTATATAAAATCTTCAAATTATATATTTATATGTCGGTTTGATTCGGATTTTTTACTCAATACCAAACCAAATCAAACCAAACCTAGTCGGATTTTTTAATCGGTTTGGTTTGACTTTTCGGTTTGGTGCGGTTGTCCGATTCGGTTTGTACATCCCTACCACTAAGTATATATAAATGTTTTTTGGTATATACTTCCCCTCTTGTAGGCTACAACTAGTGTAATTTTGTATTCGATTAACATGTTAAACGTGCTTAACTTTGGTAAAGTCAAAACTCAGTCCTTAAACCTTTGAAGTATTTTTTGTATTTATCTTCCATTGTCTTCGTCATTAAAATCTAGCATCTTTTTTTTTTTTTTTAATTTTACCTCCAAGAGAATCTATTATCTTGTGAGATTAAATGCATATATAATATTTTTACTGCAGTATAAGGGAGCTATTGAGATCATTAGGATACAAACACTATATTGTATTATTTATATTTGTTTAGGGTAGTTGTACTTATAGCATTCCGAGTGGTACCAAGCGGTTAGGTAGTTAGTTGAGTTAGTTAGACTTCCTAAAGTTAGTTAGTCAGTTAGCTGGGGTTTGGGCTCCGTTAGTTTTGCTTCTTATTCTCTTCTGCTTTTGCATTGTATATATATGCACTGTAGTTGAGCTAATGTGATTGAGACTTTCATTTCCAAATTCATTTTTCCTTCCTCTTGCAAATACTCTCGATTTTCAGTCTTCTCCTCCAAGTCTCCACTGACGACATTGGAGCTCTTCTCGAGCTCAACTGCACATTTGCTTTGCTAATTTGATATGGTATCAGAGCGCAGTTGATCCTACGCGCATAAGATTTGTGTAGATCGTCGTTAGCTCGATCTGCACATTTCAATTGCAGGTAATCTCCGTCTTTGCGAAAAGTTAGGGTTCTCATATCTCTGTTTCTCTTTTCCTCTTCTCATCTCAAATACTGTTGATTGAGTAATTCTCATGGCTAATGATGAAGAAATCGAACACATCGATGTGGACTCAAGCAAGGAGTCAACTATTGACTCAAGTAGTCCATTATACATGCATCCATCGGATAATCCTGGTGCATTATTGGTACCAGCCCCCTTTAATGGGATTGGATACAGATTCTGGAGACGGAGTGTGCTTCGAGCACTGTTAGCTAAAAATAAACTAGGTTTCTATAATGGTGATTGTAAGAAACCAGATCTAGAATCTCCAAAGTATAGACTATGGGAGAGATGTGATGATATGGTGACCTCATGGATTTTGAATTCCTTGGGGAAGGAAATTGCTGATAGCGTGGAATACGTTAATGATTCAGTCGAGTTGTAGAAAGAGCTGGAGGATCGTTATGATCAAACGAATGGTGCAAATCTGTACCAAAACCAAAAAGAGATAAATGATCTGTCGCAGGAAACACTAGATATCAGTGGGTACTATACCAGGATGAAGAAGCTGTGGGAAGAATTTAGCACTTTAAGTGCAAAGACACAATGCAGCTGTAATCGCACTTGTGAGCTAAGGAGAACATGCACAAAGCTAAAAAAGATAGACGATTGATCTAGTTCCTTATGGGACTTAATGAAGTGTACACTGTGGTAAGGGGAAGCATTCTCATGATGAATCCCCTGCCATCTTTAGCCCAAGCCTTCTCTTTGCTGATTCAAGAGGAGAAACAAAGAGAGATCAAACCTAACAACCAACTGATGTTCGAGTCTGCCTCTTTAAATGTCAATACCTCTAAGCAACCCACTTTCATGGCCAATTATAACCCAGGAAACAACTATACATCTAATAGTAAACCTCGTCCTGTGTGTGGGCATTGTAGAAAGCCGGGACATACCAAAGATAAATGCTATAAACTCCATGGATATCCTCAAAACTTCCAGAACTCTAATCAGCCTTTCCAAAATAACAATTAGAGGTTTCAAGGAGCTAATCAGAACTTTCAAAATCCCAATCAAGGTTTCAGGTTCAATAGAGGAAAAAGAACAGTAGCAAATATTCATGGTCCTCCAACTAACATGATGACTAACAATGGAGATGAGGGTGAACACCATAATGAGAGTCAGGTTTTGAGTTTCACCAAAGAACAATATGGTCAAATCATGAGCTCGCTGCAACACTTCAAAACCAGTAGGGGAGGGGAGGATCCCAACAGTCTGAACATGAGCTCTGGAGCTGCCAACTTTACAGGTATTGTAGTCTGTACCTCTTCAGTTGATTTTGGTAAATTGTCATGTAGGTGCTTTAAATCTAAGACATCACATGGATACTAGATTCAGGGGCCTCAAGTCACATGACCTTCAATAGATATTCAATGTGTGACATTACTGTCTTACCATATCCCCTATTAGCCATATTGCCAAATGGTTATAAAGTTAGAGTAACAGAAGTTGGAAGTGTGAAACTTGCACCTAGGATTGTGTTACACAAAGTCCTTTTTGTTCCTTCTTTTAAATACAATCTCATTTCTATTCATTTGTTGACTCTACACCTCAGAGGAATCGCATTCTTCACTGATGGTATTTGTATGTTGCAGGCCCCTTCACTGAAGAGGCCTCTGGAGATTGGTAGGGTCAAGGATGGACTTTACCTCTTGTGCTCTCAATGCTTGAAACACAAAGATGCCAGTTCTTCCTCTATTACAGTCAAGTCTTCTGTTCCTTGTTTGTCTGTTCACCCGTGTGATGTCCAAGATGCTTACTTTCCATCTGTACATGATCCCCTTTTGAATAAAATAGCATCTGCTAGTAGAGATACTGATGTAAATGTACCATCATCTGTAAATAAAGTCAGAAGTTGTGTTTTCCTGAATTCCCATACATCTCATGAGAATGATATTCTTTGGTACAACAGACTTGGGCATGTGCCTTTTGTGAAAATGAAGGGAATAACATCTATACCTGTCACCTTTTCTTCTAAACAATCTTTTGTGTGCTCAATATGTCCTATGGCCAGACAAAACAGACTACCCTTTCCTCAAAGAACCAGCACTTCCAGTAATATTTTTGAACTGTTGCATGTCGACCTTTGGGGACCTTATCACACTACCACTCATGATAATTACAAGTATTTTATCACTATGGTTGATGATTTCAGCAGAACTACATGGACACATCTTTTGGCTTGCAAGAGCAATGCAATTCAAGTCATTAAAGCCTTTATTTCAATGATAGAAAACCAGTTCAAAACTGCCATAAAAACCATAAGAACAGACAATGGTTTAGAGTTTACCAACACAGAAAGTAACACCTTCTTTCAGTCAAAAGGGATCATTCACCAAAAATCCTGCCCATACACACCACAACAAAATAGTGTGGTGGAGAGAAAACATAAGTATTTGCTTGAAACAGCTAGGGCACTCTTATTCCAGTCAAAACTGCCTTTGAAATACTGGGGAGAATGTGTGCTAACAGCAACCTACATCATAAATAGACTTCCCACTACATACCTTAAAAACAAATGCCCTTTTGAAATCCTATACAAAAAGAAACCACCGTATTCTCAAATGAGATGTTTTGGTTGCCTGTGTTACCCAACAGTACCTAAAGTCCATAGGGACAAGTTTGAACTTAGAGCTACTCCACATATTTTTATAGGCTATCCCTTTGGGGTCAAAAGGTACAAAGTCCTGAGTCTTGCTACCAAGAAGATTCAAATCTCGAGAGATGTATCTTTCCATGAAAATATCTTTCCCTTTGCAATTGTTCCAGATGTTTCTTCTTTTCCTTCTGTACTAAAAGGTGTCCCCTTTGTTGACTTTGTGGAAATGTTAAATATAGAAAGAAATCTAGATGGTGCAAGTCACATGGACAATGAACTGTCACCTGTTAGTAACAATGAAATATCACCTACTAGAATCACATTCACATCACCTCATAACAATCACATCTTTGATAATCCTCCATTTCTAGAGTCATCTCCAGTATCAAATCTTAATGAACCAGCTTTGAGTAATCACTCTCCTCAAACAAGTAATCAGGATAGTATTAATCTTAGAAGAACCCAAAGAGAAATCAAGACACCTACATACTTGAATGATTACATTCACAATGTACCTAAATTGCATTCAAACAGTTGTATACCATCTTTAAATGCACTGTTGTCAAACCATAATTCTGTTTCCCCTGAAGTTCTAATCCATGATAGTCAGTCTTTGATGCAAAGTGTCTGTCAAGATAATGAACCTTCTTCATATGAAGAAGCAGCTATCAATCCTGCTTGGCAGGTGGCTATGACACAAGTGTTTGAGGCATTGCATGCCAATAACACATGGGATTTAGTCCCACTACCAGCAGGGAAGAAAGCCATAGGCTGCAGGTGGGTGTATAGAGTAAAGCATAAAGCTGATGGAAGTATTGAAAGATTTAAGGCTCGTTTGGTGGTAAAAGGATACACACAACAAGAGGGAATAGACTACACAGAAACCTTCTCAGCAGTGGTAAAGATGACCACTGTGAGAGGACTCATAGCTGTAGCAGTCAAAAGAGGGTGGAACATGTTTCAGGTAGATGTAAACAATGCTTTCCTTCATGGAGATTTGAATGAAGAAGAGTTTATGGAGGTCCCTCATGGATTAGTAGTATCTGAACCAGGACTAGTCTGTAGACTAAACAAGTCTCTATATGGCTTGAAATAAGCCAGCAGACAATGGTATGCAAAACTGACAGAAGCACTGTGCTCCAGAGGTTATGAACATTCCATGCATGATTATTCATTGTTCTACAAGAAGAATGGGACATCCTTGGTTTATGTAGCGGTATATGTTGATGATGTGATACTCACAGGAATAGATCTTGAAGAAATAAAGCTTTTGAAGAAGTTTTTACATGATAGCTTTAAGATCAAAGATCTAGGGAGGCTTCAGTATTTCCTTGGCCTTGAAATTCTTTATAAGGATGATGGGGCCATCATTTCCCAAAGAAAATTTGTCATTGACCTTTTGAAAGAGTATAATTGTCTCAGCCGTAGTTCCTTATCATCACCCCTTGATCCAAATGTGAAGTTAAAAGCAAAGGAAGGTGCTCCCTTGTCAGATCCCAGCTGTTATAGAAAGTTGGTTGGAAAATTGAATTTTCTGACTAATACAAGATTAGACATTGCTTTTAGTGTTCAACATCTAAGCCAGTTCATGCAAGATCCAAGGGAACCACACTTGAAGGCAGCATATCACCTGTTGAGGTACTTGAAAGCTGACCCTAGCCTAGGAGTCTTCTTCTCCAAGAATGTTGATTATACAGTGAGAGCATACTGTGATTCTGATTGGGGTGATGGTTGAAGGAACTAGACTGAAAGTAATGGATGACAAGTTAGTAAGACATGATGAAGTTTTGAATGAAGTTCTGGCTGCTCAGGAAGAACTTCATGGCACTCAAAATGGGATACAGGGTACGTTAGAGCTGATCTTAGAAAGGTTGACAAATCTGGAAAGAGCCCCCCAACGAGCTCAAGGTGACAGACCTCAAGGAGATGGGCTGCTACCCATACCAGGCCAGGAGTTGAGACAACATAGGCCTCAAGCTGTACATGCCCCTTCTCCTAAGTGGGAGCTGCCTTACTTTGAAGGTCATGAGCCTAAGGTGTGGATTCGAAAGTGCGAAAGGTACTTCAATCTATATAAAACCCCGGATAATATGAAGGTAGAAGCAACTGCACTCTATCTGAATGGACTAGCTGATACTTGGTATGATTCATTAGTGCTAAGTAAAGGTGAAGTCAGCTGGGCTGAATTCAAGGAGGAGTTACTAATTCGATTTGGGGAGGAGTTATTGGGAGACATAGTGGAAGAATTTAACAAATTAAGTCAAGTAGGGTCGGTAGATGACTTTCTGGGCAAATTTGAAGATTTGAAGGCCCAAATGCTGATAAGGAATCCTAACTTGGATAAGTCACACTTCATCTCCAGTTTCATTGGAGCTCTAAAAGAAGAGATTAGGTTTGGGGTGAAGTTTTTTAAACCTACAACCCTGCGGTTTGCTGTGGAACAAGATAGGTTGCAGGAAAAATCTAATGTCATACCCCAAGCCCCCCCCCCCCCCTTGTGGCTAGTAATTCTGCTAGTACAAGGGTACTTGCTACTACTGCAGTTAAACCAAACTCCTACAGGCTTAGCCCTGAGGTTTATGAGTACAGGAAGAGCAACCACTTATGCTACAAATGTGGTGAGAAGTATACCCCAGGCCATCAATGTAAGAAGAGGCAACTGAACTGCATAGTGGGGGCAGTAGAGCCCCTTCCTGAGAGTACTGAGATAGAAGAAGAACAACCTTGTGCAGACTTGATTATTGAAGGAGAATTAGAACAGGAAGTCATGGAAGCTGTGTGTATGAATGCTCTATGAGGTGACAACAGAGGAGTCAACACCATACTCGTTCGAGGTACCATAGGGAACAGGAAACTAACTGTGCTAATAGATTCTGGTAGCACTCGTAGTTTCCTAGATGTTACTACAGTAGGTTACCAAGCTAAGCATTGCCCACCAGTGAGAGTAACAGTAGCTGATGGGAATTATGTCATGTGCACTTCGATTTGCATAGGATACGGGTGGAAAATGCAAGGTAGGCCCTTCCAGGAAGACTTACTGATCATTCCACTTGGGGGCTGTGATATGGTAATGGGCAATGACTGGATGAAGAAGCATAATCCCACTAAATTTGATCATGAGAAAATGTGTGTTACCATTGGTAAGAAGAGCAACCAGTTAGTGTTGCAAGGTATTTTTGAGGAGGGTAAATTGAGTATGATCTCCAATGGAACAATGGGAAGGATGCTGAAGATGGGTCAAGCTCTAATAGCTCATCTGTTCATGATGAATTCCTTGGAAACAGAAGAGAAGGAACCAGTTGGAGAAACCATTAAGGAGGTGTTGAATCAATAACCTGATGTGTTTGCAGAACCCAAATCTCTCCCCCCCCATGAGGACATTGGACCACACCATTCCCTTGAAACCTGGGGCCATGCCAGTTAGTCTGAGACCTTACAGGTACAACTACTATCAGAAAGATGAGTTGGAAAGACAGGTTAAGGAGATGCTCACTAATGGCATCATACAGCATAGTCAATCTCCCTTTTCGTCACCAGCATTGCTTGTCAAAAAGAAGGATGGGACTTGGAGGTTCTGTGTAGATTATAGAGGATTGAATGAAATCACAGTGAAGGACAAGTATCCAATACCTATTGTAGATGACCTCTTAGATGAACTAAGTGGATCTGTGATCTTTTCCAAGGTGGATTTGAGGGCTGGTTATCACCAAATCAGAATGAGGTTAGAAGATGTATATAAGACAACCTTCAGAACTCATTTGGGTCATTATGAGTTCAAGGTAATGCCATTTGGATTAACAAATGCACCAGCCACCTTTCAAGCTTTGATGAACCAGGTTTTTCAACCTTTCCTTCGAAAATTTGTTTTGGTCTTTTTTATGACATCCTTATTTATAGTTTATCTGAAAGAGAATATGTGACTCATTTGATTGCTGTTTTTGATACTTTAAGAAAACACTCCTTATTTGCTAAAAGGTCTAAATGCTCATTTGGTCAATCTAAAGTTGAGTATTTAAGACATATCATATCTGCAGAGGGAGTGTCTACTGATCCAGCTAAAATACAAGCCATGATAGAATGGCCTAGACCAAACTCCCTAAGGGCACTGAGGGGATTCTTGGGTTTGACTGGATACTATAGAAAGTATGTGGCTAATTATGGAATCATTTGTAGACCTTTAACTGACTTACTGAAAAAGGATGCTTTCAAATGGAATGATGAAGCTGACTTAGCCTTTAAAGCCTTCAAGGAGGCTATGTCTTCTACACCAGTGTTGGCCCTACCTGACTACACTAAGGAGTTCATAGTCGAGACAGATGCTAGTCAAAATGGCATTGGGGCTGTACTAATTCAAGGATGTAGACCAATAGCTTATTTTAGCAAGGTTTTGGCTCAAAGGCACATGGGTAAGTCAATCTATGAGAAGGAGTATATGGCCTTGTTGAATGATATTGACAAGTGGAGACATTACTTACAGTACATGCATTTTGTGGTTAGAACTGACCATCACAGCTTGAAATATCTTCTGGAACAAAGGGTTACAACAGCAAGGACTGACCAAGTTACTGGGACTAGACTATGAAGTGCAGTACAAGGAAGGGGCAGAAAATAGGGTGGCTGATGCCCTTTCTAGGCAACAGGAGGACTCAGAATATCACAAGGACCAAACTCAAGGAACATTGCAGGCCATCAGTGCCTCAATTCCTTCTTGGATGCAAGAGGTAACACACAGTTATGAAGGAGACCCTAAGGCTACAAAAATAATCAGACAAGCAGTAGTGACTCGGCAGGGACCTAGCATCTGGCACTACACTTCTAGCATACTCAGGTAAAAGGGAAAAATCTATATCGATACTAATGGTGATCTAAGAAATCAGCTTATATCCACCTTCCATGATTCTCTGGTAGGTGGGCACTCAGGGCAGCTGGGGACTCTTAAAAGACTGTCACAGGTATTCTATTGGCCTAGAATGAAGCAGATGGTTATTGACTATGTGGCTAGCTGTGATATTTGCCTCAAGAGCAAGGATGATAACATGGCCTATCCAAGGCTATTGCAGCCCCTGCCCATTCCTAATCAAGCTTGGAGCCACATCAGTATGGACTTCACAGAAGGTTTGCCCAAGTCCAAAAACAAAGAAGTGATCCTTGTGGTAGTGGATCGCCTGACAAAATATGCACATTTCATAGCACTTGCACATCCTTATACAGCAGCAACAGTAGCTGAGGTATTTTGGAAGAGGATACATTGTTTACATGGCACCCCTGAGTCTATAGTAACTGACAGAGATAAGGTATTCCTAAGCCACTTTTGGCAATCCTTATTCAAGCTAGTAGGAACTCAGCTACACTACAGCACTGCTTACCACCCTCAGAGTGATGGCCAGACTGAAAGAGTCAATAGATGTGTAGAGAATTATCTCAGATGTATGACTGCTAGTAGACCAACACAATGGAAGCAATGGCTGACTGCTGCAGAATGGTGATACAACACCAACTTCCACACCAGCCTGCAATGTACTCCCTTTGAGGCTTTGTATGGTTACACTCCCCCTCAATTGTCTCTAGGGCCCTTATTGGATACAGTGGTTCAAGCAAAATTTAGGACAATACAATAAAGGACAAAATAAGGATTTGGTATAATAATACAATTTTTTTTTAGATTTCTATTTATAAAACTAAAAAGCTGCTGAAGATACAGTAATGCGAAGGCAACAGATGCAACAGCTGTTGAAAGACAACCTCGCTAAGGCACAAGAGAGAATGAAATATTACGCTGACAAGAGAAGATCAGAATGAAAATTCCAAGTGGGTGATATGGCCTATTTAACACTGCAGCCTTATAGGCAGACATCCCTTGCATTGAGAAGGAACCTACAGATGAGCTCTAAGTACTATGGTCCCTATAAAGTTCTAGCTAGAATTGGTATGGTGGCCTACAAATTAGACTTGCCGCCTGAATCTAAGGTTCACCCTGTGTTCCATGTCTCCCTACTTAAGAAAAAGGTGGGTAATAGAGTGATAGTGCAGACTACTCTGCCTATCACTGGTGAAGATAAGCAGTTTCTAGTAAAACCAGTGGCAATTCCGCAGAGGCAGCTCATAAAAAGAAACAATACTGCTATGGTTAGAGTATTGGTGCAATGGTCAAAACTACCTCCAGAAGATGCAACATGGGAGGATTATCAGTTCATCAAAGATAAATTTCCAGAATTTGACTCCAATCCTTGAGGACAAGGATTCTTTGAAGAGGTGGGGAATGTCATGATCCCTTAAATCATCACAAATAAATGTTGAAATCTGGACTCGATATGAAGAAGCTGAAGGAAATGCAGTAACAGAAATTGTGAAAGGAATAATAGAAATTCAAACGAACGACTGAGATTAAGTTAAAATTAATGAGCTGCAAGGGTCAAGATTTAGCCACGTCAGCTGGAAGGTTGTCATAACCACCTTCAACAGAAAGAGAAGGCATCGATCCTTAGGTAAATTTTCTCTCTTCTCTTTCCACTCTCAACCTCTGTGCTCTCTCTCTTCTCGATTCTCTCCTAACTTCTTCTTCTTTCTTCTTCTTCTTCTTCTTTTTCTTCTCATCTGCAGATTCCTCAACTATGGAGCTTCACATTAGGAGATAGTTAATTTTTATTTAACCATTGTAGTTCAAACTTCTTCTTTTCGTTATATATAAACAGAAAATTATCCCAAAAAGTCCTTTAATATTCCCATAAACCTCCTTATTTTTGGCTTTTTAAATATATTTTGAGTTGAATTTAAGTTATATAAATAATAGTGTAATTTTTTTTATATTATCATCAAATTTAACATGTTAGTTATTATTTTTATTGGACAATTAATATTTATAATAGAAATTGATATGTAATTAACTCTGAATTGAAATTGGCTATCAAATTAGCAAAGCAAATGTGCAGTTGAGCTCGAGAAGAGCTCCAATGGCGTCAGTGGAGACTTGGAGGAGAAGACTGAAAATCGACAGCATTTGCAAGAGGAAGGAAAAATGAATTTGAAAATGAAAGTCTCAATCACATTAGCTCAACTACAGTGTATATATATACAATGCAAAAGCAGAAGAGAATAAAAAGCAAAACTAACGGAGCCCAAACCCCAACTAACTGACTAACTAACTTTAGGATGTCTAACTAACTCAACTAACTACCTAACAGCTTGGTACCACTCGGAATGCTATAAGTACAACTACCCTAAACAAATATAAATAATACAATATAGTGTCTGTATCCTAATGATCTCAGTACCCCTCCCCCCCCCAAGTTGGAGGTGAAGCTGTCACTGCCAACTTGCTGAGAATGTTGGAATGTTTGATCCCAGTTAATGCTTTAGTGAGAATGTTGGCAAGTTGATGATCAGTCCTAATATGATGTAGAGAGATGAGCCCCTCTTGTAGTTTGTTTCGAACAAAATGGCAGTCTACCTCATTGTGTTCCTTGCTATGTGAAGTGTTGATTGACTGTCACACACAGTCGCAGGATCGAGGCTCTGATACCAATTGTAATGATCTAAATAAGACTAAGAAATTAAACAACAAAACTGTAGAATTAAAGGACTTTTTGGGATAATTTTCTGTTTATATATAACGAAAAGAAGAAGTTTCAACTACAATGGTTAAATGAAAATTAACTATCTCCTAATGTGAAGCTCCATAGCTGAGGAATCTGCAGAATGAGAAGAAGAAGAAGAAAGAAGAAGAAGTTAGGAGAGAATCGAGAAGAGAGAGAGCACAGAGGTTGAGAGTGGAAAGAGAAGAGAGAAAATTTACCTGAGGATCGATGCCTTCTCTTTCTGTTGAAGGTGGTTATAACAACCTTCCAGCTGACGTGGCTAAATCTTGACCCTTGCAGCTCATTAATTTTAACTTAATCTCAGTCGTTCGTTTGAATTTCTGTTATTCCTTTCACAATTCTGTTACTCCATTTCCTTCAGCTTCTTCATATCGAGTCCAGCTTTCAACATTTATTTGTGATGATTTAAGGGATCATGACAGTAATTTTCGCAACTTTATCTAGAATTGAACATCTAGCCGTTAGGAAAATTCGCCCAAACCACTATAGCGATTTCATCCCCAACTCTAGCTGAGAAGCACTGTCCAAATTAAAGCGAAAAATATAAGGTGAATGAAACATCTTTTTGGAAGAAAAAAAAAAGATGGTGGTAATGAGAAGTTTTTCACATTCTTTTTCCAATTTATAGATAGTCTAAGATTAATAGATAATCTTGAGAAAAGTTTTTATCCAATTTATATAAAAACAAAATTTCTTCACATTTTTTATCCAATTTATATAGAACCTCGATCTTTGTGTCTATATTTTGGACTAGATTAAGGAAGATGTCAAAGTTTAGAGTTCAACAGCCATGAGGAAAAAGAAACAAAGGAGAATGAGTTGAGGTAACTTTTGTATTTACATGATTCTTCCAAGAACATGAAGAAAAGAGTTTTATGTTTTATCAACTTACGGTATTGAATATATTTTTACAATTAGATGAGTTAAAAATTAACTACAAGTAAATATTTACACTAGATATAAGTTCACAACTAGACAAAAAAAAAAAAGGAATAACTTGTTAAATTAGATCAACTTAAATCAAGTGTATTAAAGTATGCTGATGGTGAAAAATAATTTTACATTTTCTATAAAATAATTACAACTAAATTTCTATAATGCATCTTAATTTATAAAATCATAAAATTATAATTAACCTACTATCACATTATTAAATTACAAAGATACCACAAAAACATTCCTTTTTTTCTATTCTCACTAGGTTCCAGTGCCCATATTGGAACCCATCTAATCTAGATACACGTCGCATAAGATTCATTAAAGTAAAACGCGTATCGAATGATTACGAGGATTTTCGCATTTTCAACACGCACCCGAGACTTTTAAATTAAAGTTAGAAAATTTTTATACATCCCACTACAATCTTCTATGGTTAACTTAAAAATCTTCCCATATGTACTTAAAGATCTATGTATAATGGCAAGGGGTTACCGAATTTCGTAAACTTCGGCGAAAATCTTGTATTCTCTCTGTTTTAATTTATGTAAAACCTATTTGACTGTGCACGGAGTTTAAAAAAAAGACTTTTGAACTTGTGGTATAAAATGAGGTACATATATTTTATGTGACTATAAATCATTGCATAAATGTAAATTGCTTCCAAATATGAAAAGGGATCATTCTATTTGACATAGACTACAGAAAATATATTCACATAAATTGAAACGAGTATGTATATATATATATATATATATATATATATATATATATATATATATATATATATATATATATGTATATATATATATATATATATATGTATATGTATACCGTAAAAATGATTAATTTAAAGCAACTAAACACTAATAGCCTTTACAGCTTGTTTTGATAGTTGTACACAATTGTTTCATAATGTATCCTATTGTATTGTATTGTACTGTACTGTATTATTTGATGAATACAATATTTGGATAGATTGTATCGTTTGCTGTTGTTTCATGATATCACGCACCAGTAATATGAAAAATAAACTAGCAATATTATTAAAAAAAATTATGATATGGGGTAAATCTATTATATAAAAAGGCAGGGTAAATGATAAAACAAAATTATTTAATAATACTGAAGGGTGAGATGAGATAAAAAGACAAGAGAATGATGCAACCACAACAAATCGGTCGTTACATAAAGTGGAACAATTCGCCGTTATGTAACGACAGATTTAACGATACGATACAATAAAATTTAAGTAACAATCAAAACAAATAGCGTATTTAAAGTAATAATACGATACAATACAATAGGTAACAACATTATCTTGCTTAAACATAATACTATTTCCCGCCGCGTAAAAATTCTAGGTCCGCCTCTATCTAAATATACGAGTCCATTACTCAAATGGTCACTCAACTATCCCCAATTATCTCCTAAAGTCACTTTTCTTTCGTTTGTAACAACAAAGCCACTAAACTATGCCTGTTGCACTCAGAAGGTTACTCAACTAAATTTTTCAAACTTTAGATTGTCAAATACCTATTTTGCCTTATCCCACCTTATACCTCATACCAAACGACCCCTTAGGAAATATTGCTTAAACATAATACTATTTTCTATCGCGTAAAAATTCTAGGTCCGCCTCTACCTAAATATACTCCATAAATCCATAAAACTTTTAAAGTACACAAAACAACAAAAATGTCCTTCCCCAACAAACCAAACAGAAAAGGACTCAGCAACATGTTTACTCTACTTCTACTGCCCCCCCCCCCCTAACCCAATCCCCCACCTATTCCCCTGAACTCCCCCCACCCTCGGGTTGAACGTGTCATCCCCTGCTTTATAAATCAGCACACTTCCACACACTCAAATGACACTCATTTCTCAATTCTCAAAACTCTTTAAAAATCTCTCTGGTTTTTCCCTTTTCACTTTCTGCTTTCATTGTATTTGATTCATCAAAATTAGTGTCTTTTCTTGCATGGCAGCTCGTCTTTTAGCTCATGAGGTAGCTGACCTTTGCCTTGGCAAGCCACCGCTTAGGTCTCTCTCTCTTTCTTCCTCAATCGGTGAAGCTTTAGCTTCTCTCAAATCTTGTGAAGATTATTGCATTACTATTTGGGATTGTGACCATTTCAAGAATCAAGATTGTCTTTGTGTTGGGAAAATTTGTATGGTTGATATAATCTGTTTTCTTTGTAAACAAGAAAATCTTGCCTCTCCTTCTTTGGCTCTCAAATCTCCTCTCACTGCTCTATTGCCTAAAGATTCTTCTCTTGTTAGGCATGTGCAACCCTCTACAAGGTAAAAAAAAATTAAGTCTTTTTATATTGTTGTGTCAAATTCTTGAATTTGCTTTTTTTTTTTCCTTCTTATGTGGGGTTCTTTTAATTCTTCTTGTTTTGCTCTTAGCTTTATATACTCTCTTTAATTTGCATTTTTTTCTTATGTGGGGTTCTTTTAATTGTTCTTGTTTGGCTCTTAGTTCATTTACTCTCTTGAATTTTGCCACCTCAAGTATCAATTTGATGATTCTTGGTGTAGATAGGAATGCAACCCTCTACAAGGTTAAAAAAAAATATTAAGGCTTTTTATATTGTTGTCTCAAATTCTTAAAAAGCATCTCGCATTTATACAGGATTCGGGAAGGGCCGGCCTCCTAGGGATGCGATGCGATGTAGATAGTCTACCTCACTGCAAGCATTAGTGACTGTTTTTACGATTCGAATCTGTTGTGTCAAATTCTTGAATTTGCTTTTTTTCTTATGTGGGGTTCTTTTAATTGTTCTTGTTTGGCTCTTAGTTCATTTACTCTCTTGAATTTTGCCACCTCTAGTATCAATTTGATGATTTTGGTTGTATATAGGAATTCAAAGATTCAAGAATTTGTACTTAAAATTTTGGATTGAACCATCAAAATTTGCCCATTTTCTATTTTCCAATATCTAATTTTCTTGTTTTTTTTTTTATTGGTTTAGTAACTCTTGGCATTTTTACTTATGTTTCACATTTCCAAGATTCTTGATTGACTGTAGTTTTTAGGGAGATTTGCCTCAGAAATCATGTTTTAATATAGCATTGAGGTGTCCCAACTAGTGAAAGATAGTATTTTTTTCACATTCCATTAGTTTATGTCTAAAAATTGATTTATGTATTTGTTTTTCTCCTTTTGTAGCTTAATAGAAGCCATTGATCTAATACTTCAAGGAGCTCAAAATCTAGTGGTTCCTATAGAGAGCAGGTTTAGTGGCAGCTCGAGAAGGAAATTGCTGCAAAAATCTTCATCAACAAAGAGTTGTACTCTCCACAATGGGCGCGAATTTTGTTGGCTAACTCAAGAAGATGTCATTAGATATTTCCTAAGCTCAATTGGGTTTTTCTCACCCCTTCCAACACTCTCCATTGATGCCCTTGGTATTATTAGCACAGAGTTTTTGTCGATAGGGTATCACTCGCCTGCATCATCGGCCATTGAGGCGATCTCTCGATCCCTCGTGGACCAAACATCTGTGGCGATTGTGGATGATGATGGTCTACTAATCGGAGAAATCTCTCCGTCCACCCTAGCTTGTTGTGGTGAGACCGTGGCCGCAGCGATCACGACCCTCTCGGCCGGTGAACTCATGGCCTACATTGACTGTGGTGGTCCACCGGAGGACATCGTGAGGGTCGTGAAGGCGAGGTTGAAGGAAAGAAATCTTGAAGGAATGTTGGAGGAATTCGAGATTGATCCCTCGGATATTTCCTCCAACTCATCGTTATCCGATGAGGAGTTACCTTCCCCGACCACGAGTTTCTCATCCTCGAGTAGGTCAGGGAGGTACAATAAGTCTAGTAGCTATTCCGCGAGGATGGTGAGGAGGGCGGAGGCAATCGTGTGTTATCCGGGCAGTTCTTTGGTCGCTGTAATGGTTCAGGCGATCGCTCATCGTGTCAACTACGTGTGGGTGATTGAAGATGATTGCAGTGTTGTAGGTATTGTGACATTTGCTAACATGTTAGAAGTTTTTCGTGACCAATTAGAGTCAATAATGTTAGTAGATTTTGATTAGTATTTCAAAGTGCAGTTCTAAAATCTGTTGAGGCTGTAAGTTCTTGTGAATATGAGAATGTACTTCTCTTTACTTTCTTTTTTCACTTCTATTTTGAGCTTTGTGTTCCTGTGACTTTGTAATATCATGGTACTATTTTGTTGGTTTTAGGACTGGTGGATGGAATAAAGTGTATGAATCTTCTATTTAAGGAATATAAAAGTATTGCTTTTGAGCTTTTTTGTAGTACTATCTATTAGGTGTAAAAGAGCAAGAAAAGTTGATAGGGATGGGGTCTTTTTCAAGGGATCCACACTTTTCTTAGGACAAGTAACAAATAAGCACTACTCCCCTTTTTTCAGCGGTCCGGTGCACTAAGTATTTCGCGCTTTTTTAGTGATTCGGTGTACGAAGTATTTCGCGTTCACACATGATCCTAGAATGGTTGCACTCTAAACGAGTCCGGTGTACGAAGCATTTCGCGTTCACGCGGGATCCGGGGAAGGGTCGCACCCTAATCGATGTGATGTACCTGATGCAAGCATTTGACTGATTCCACAGCTCGAACCGACTTATAGGTCACATAGAGATAACTTTAACGTTGTTTCAAGGTTTTTTTTTTTGATTTTCCATCCGGTATCCGGTATCCATATTGGGGACCGACTACATCCGAATTCGCGACGGGAAGTCCTATATTGAGGGGTAATCCGCTTCCTAACAAAGGCGACTCCATACCCAGGGACTCGAATCCGAGACCTCTGGTTAAGGATGAAGGATTACTTACCACTCCACCACAACCCTTGTTGGTCTCCAAGGCTTTCCTTCTACTACAACCTCATAGCAAACTTCTTATTTTATCCGCGAATTTAGATATATAATTTTTAAACTTATTAAAATAAGATTTGGAAACTACACAAAAATATTATTAGTCAAATTAACAGTTTAAAATATTTTAAAAATATATGAAAAAATTATGATCAAGAAAAAATATTTTTAATTTTCGAAATTCAAACTGCATTACATGAATTGTGACATAGAAAGTAACGCCTTAAGTAACATATCTCCAGTGGCTTAATCAACTTATAGGAAAATAGGCATTTCTTAATTGAGTTTTTTCTGCTTTGAAAGGGATAGCATTACTATAATCAATTCTTATAAAGAGATCTAAAAGCGAAAAAGTACATGATTTTGGTTATCTTTCGTTTTCCTTAGTCACTAGTATTAGATATAAGTTGCATAGCAGTATGGAAGAAAGCAACTTCCTTGACTCAATCAAGATTTGCCTATTTAATAGTTATGGAGATAGTAAGTAGGGCCGGACTGAGGATTTGAAGGTGTCGGGAGTATAAGCAGACTACTCAATCGGCATTCTTATTTGACTTTTGATCTTAAGGGTTTCAAGTAAAATATATGATCGTTTTAAATATATATACTCATATGTAATTAGATTTTTTGTCGAAGTTAACAGAGTCTAGTGACCCCTCTTCTCCAAACATAGGTCCGCCTCTGATAGCAAGCTTGCGTGAAAATTCCTATTGTTAAAGTTTTTTTCAACAGGACATGGGATCATCCATACAAATGACCTGGGATCGATTCCCCCTCAATGCCTTCTTGGTTGAGCCTGTTGCACAGGGTTTGTCTAGTGCGATTTACGTTCCCTATGTGATTTGCGGACTATTACACGGTGGGGGATTTACCCAGTACTCACCGAAGGACTGTGACAGAAACTATAACGGCTGTGGATTTTCTTGAGGCATATAACCCATAAGGGGAAGTTACTGGTCTCATTAATCAGATTCGGCCTAAATGTAAGACCTATAAAAGGAGTAGCATTCTCTTTTAAAAATTTCTTTATTTTCAGAATTCCAACTTAAGACTCTCGATTAAAAATTGAGTGATTTCATCTATCCCACCATGCTCTTTGATGGTTTCTATTAATGTATTCTTAACAGTGTCGCAAAAGTTTCTAAATATTAAGTCAAGATCCAGAAAAGATAAGAATTGATATTTATTTTTTTGGGGTAGAAAAGTTCCTGAAGTTTAGTAAATAATTGATTAATTATTAAAGAATTGATAAAGTTTAGTAAATAATTGATTAATTAATAAAGAACTGATAAAGTGGTACTTTGTGAAGCTTTGGTGTATCTTTACGTGGACCCACAGATCTACGACACATCACGTTTGATCGGATAATCTATCACTTACTCCTAAGAAAAAACAAAAGGTTTTTCAATACTTCTCCAATTTTTTTAAAAATAAATCATCACCTTTACAGTTTTACTTAATAAAGTGTTAATTAAATGAAATATTTAGGATGAACTAAAAGTAGTTTAAACAAATAATTTTATAGTTAAGAATTTTTATTGTGAGAAATTTTCAAACTGCGCATTGAGTAATCTGCTCATTCTACAATAACTTTTAAGTCACACGGGAGATGTAAAATAAACCAGACATTATAAGCCATTTTGAAGTGTGTATTGAACTTTGAAAGATATTTAATAGAAATCAAATATAGTAATGCTTAATTGCTTACTAGTCCTCCCTCCGTTCATTTTTACTTGTCTATTATGGACTTTGCACACCCCTTAAGAATTAATAAATGAAGTGCATAATTTATCATGATACCCATATTAATTGATGCATATTTTTAATGAATTTGAGAAAATGATTTGAAATGAGTAATTAGTATTGTGGGATAACAGAAAATAAAAACATTTTCTCTTGATATGATAAAAGTAATTAGTAAAAATAAACATTTAGTTTTAGAATACTGGACAAGTAAAAGTGAACGGAGGGAGTAATTCCTAAGCATCTGAGAAATACTTTTGGGGTGAAATTCAAAAATAGCCAGATTTACAAGTGGTCATTAAAAAATAGCCACAGTTTCAAAAGTAATTGAAATTTAGCCACCTTCATGTAAAGATAAATCTGAACGAAAACACTGTTCAAAATCCGGAAAAATACTCCAGTATAATATACTGGAATTCCAGTATAATATGCCGGTCCAGCGTAATATACTAGAGATTAGAGCACCGGTGCTCCAATCTCCAGTATATTATACTGGAACTTCCCGCATGTTGGAGTTTCAGCATAATATGCTGGAAGTTCATACACAGGTGTATCGATTTCCAGTATATTATGCCGGAACTTTCCGTGTTGCAGCAGAATAGCGGCTATTTTTCAATAACTTTGCAAACGGTGGTTATTTTTAAATAACCAGTCCGAAAACTGGCTAGCCCGTGCTATTTTTACATACTTTTGGGGATCAACGTAATCATTTCCCAAACTCTTAAAACTCCTTTTTTCTACAAAAAGGGAAACTTTTCAGTTTTCTTCTCACGCCTTACACGTTTGGAGCAATAAGTTAAATCTCTTGTGCGTGTGTAATCATGTCTTTGCTTTTAGCAAAGGCATATTATTAGCCCAACCTTTTTCCGGTGACCACAAATAGCGGCGGGATGTAGCGGGTTCATTTGAATTCAGTATACTTGATTTTAAATATAAATAATATATATAAGAAAATGAATTAATATTTCAACTGATAATATATTTGAACTCGTAATTTTTAAAACATAGCGAATTCAATGCTAACAACTTTGAATATGGTTGAGGGAAATGTATTTAATTCGATCTATACTATTCCAATTGACTTGGTTGAAAGGGGCTATGAGAAGATCGATACTATTCCAAATCATTTTTCAAGTCCATTAAAGCTATACACCAATTAATATGAGTATCATGATAAATTATACATTTTATTTATTATTTTTTAAGGGGCGTGCAAAGTCAATAATGAACAACTAAAAATTAATGGGGGAGTAGTAAACAGTTAGGTACATGACTTGAACAGAGAACCCCACTAATGGGGTTATAGAAACTTGGAATAGGGATTAGTGAGTGCTTTATAAGTAAAAATATAGTAATGATCTGATTATCTGAAGCAAATCAAGAATCTTGCATAATAAAGCAGATTTGACATTCTGTCTTCTCGAGTTTTGCATGAGAGATACCCATAGAATCAAATCAAAGATTAATAAATGGTCTTCCAATCAGGGCGGAGGGAAAGTAGAAGCTACGGGTTCGGCTGAATCTTATAGCTTTGGTCCAAACTATGTATTTATCTTGAAAAATTCGTTGGATATGTACAAATTATTAATTTTAAAACCCAGTGACTTCAAAAATTTAGAATCCCGAACTCATAAACTTCAAATCCTGGCTCCGCCTCTACTTCTTCCAATAGAGTTGGGTTTTTCAACTCCCATTCCCTATGCTCTTTTTTTGTAATAGCTATTTTCCTATGCTTATCTTCTGTGGGAACAAGGCTTTAACTGAGGTAGGTAAGATTTGACTCTGGTAAGGGTTTTAGAGGATTTGGCTATTTATTTATTTATTTATTTATTTATTTATTTATTTATTTATAGCAATCTTCAAATGAGGGTAACAAGTAACAACTCTTGGATGGGTAAGATGCTGGTGCTGAATTCTTTGGGATCTTATTATTAATCTTAGATGAGTTTTTGGGTTTAACTTTGGTTTAGTTTTCTAAAGGATTGATTTGGAAAATGTAGTAGAAAATACTTTTGGGAAATAGATGAGTATTTACATGAGATTGTTGGATTATCTTAGCATTACACTACAAATAGTTGAGTTAAATTGCTTCTAGAATCAAAATAATTTGCTACTAGGAAATTGAATTTGAGTTGATTTTTTGTTTCCAAAAGTAGGCTGATAAGAATTGGTCTAGCTTTCCATACGTAACAAAGTTAATTAATGTTTCCTGAAATGATTCCAAATGCCCACTAGCTGTGCAATTTTCATGTGGCGTCCAGTTCATGCATACACTTTTCTCTTTCTTCTTCGTTGATGTTTTCTTCTTCTTCTTCTCTTCTTCTTTTTACTTGCAAAATGAGTTAGTGAATTTATTGTTGTTTTTGACAATTTGATCATGGAGATTTATTCTTTATGATATTTGACGTTGCATTTTAAATTTGAGCTCATATGAAGTAGATTTGGGTGTTGAATCGTGTGTTAGATTCTTAAAATTCGAAGAACAAGTTTATGTTCAAAACTTAAGATTCAAAATCTGAAGTTACATTGAAGAGATTGAACTACTTAAGATTCGAATTTTTGAAGTTATATTTGAAAGATAAAAGAACTTCAGATTTGATTTTTGAAGTTGCATGTTAGAGATTGAACTAATTAAGATTCAAATTTTAAAGTTGCATTTAAAAGATA